CTGCTGCTTGTTCCTCCACCTGAGCCTTTGGCCTCAGCCTTCTGTTGAGCCCTGGACCCGCTGGCTGCACAGCTCCCCTTGCTCTGTGCTGTTGGCCCTGCTGGTCTGCTGTCCTAGGAGGAGCCCTGGCACACTGCTGGGTACACGGCAGGCAGGCAGGCAGTGCTCGCTGCGCGGTGTGCATGCAGCGAGTGCAGGGCCTGGGGAGCGGGTGCCAGACTCCTTGTGTCAGTATCACAGCCTGCCAGGGGAACCCTGCTCTGCCTTGGTTCCATCCCCTAGGGTGGCCTCAAGGCTCAAGTGCCCTTGGGCCGGCTCTGCTCCCAGGCTCACCCCTGCTGTCCTTGTGAGGCTGGGCTGGCATGTTTCTGGGTGCAGAAATTTCCAGGTTCCCTCACCAGATGCCCCTGGGAGTGACCCCGGGAAGCCCAGGGGCAGGGGCAGACTCAGCTTTGCCCAGAGGGGACAGCGGTGCCCCCCCCCCCACTCCTCAGAGCCCCGGGCGCCCTGGGCTCCGCCCTGAGGACCTGGCACCAGTCACCCTCTCTTCTCAGGGTCTGGATACCAGCCACGCGGTGCCCCATCTGGATGGTGCCTCTCACCCTGCAAGACCCCTGCTGTGTGTCCTTCCTCAGCTGCTGCAACCCAAACATTCCGTTTTGCTCCCCAGTTGAACCCTACAATCCTACTATTGAGGCTACACTGGAGACCCTGTGGGAAAGCCTGGGGCACCCTATTCCTCATCCCGGCTGAGCCCCACTGACACCACATGTATAGCACTCAGAGTAACAGGCACTCAGGGTGACGGCTTGATCTGAAGTGTCCCCCAAGGCTCCCGTGTCCAGAGGCTCGGCTTCTGGATGGGCACTGGGTCATGGGGTGCTGACCTCATGGACAGATGAACCCACTGATGAATTCATAGCTGGGTAGGCTGTAGTAGGTAGAGGCTGGCAGATAGACCATAAGGTGTGACCTGGAAGGGCAGGTCTTGTCCTAGCCCCTTCCCTTCTCCCTGCTTCTCAGCCACCATGATGTGAGCAGCTTTCCTCCACCAACGTCCCCCATGCTGCTCCTACCTTGGAGCCAGCTGACCATGGACTGAACCCTCTGAAACTATGAGCCTCTCCTCCTGAAGGTGACTTAGGTCAGGTATTTGTCCCAGTGCTAGAAGGTGGTTGATAGGCAAGGTATGCACGGTGGGTGTAGTGCCCTGTACTTGTTCCAGTAGGTGAACCAATGCTGCCCATTAGAATACAGGGAAGGACAGCACACACCTGACCCCACCACGGATCACCCAGGTGTGGGCAGTCCTGACACTCAGACACCCAGCACCATGCACAGCAAAAGATGACACAGCTCCCATAGCATTAGCAATTTTTTATTTTCCTTTTTGTTGCATAGGAAATGCAGTACTTGCTTCCAGTAATTGTACTGTAATGTGAGAAGGTGGTAGCACTAATGGTTGAATACAAGAGTTAAACTAATCCACACCAGCTCAAAAAACCTGTGGAGATTTAGTTGAATAAGAATGGACGCCCACAGTGATTCTCAACCAATTACAAATTGTCACAGAACACAGTAAACTAAAAGGATAACTATGAGAGTCAACACGGTACACTAGAGGCACGGGGCCCGGTTCACAACCACCACTTCAGACCGAGTTATTAACACGGGGCTGCTCAGCACCACACAACCTGGCCCCCGCGGTGGGGCTGGACAGTGAGGCTCTCTGCGTGGACAGCGTCCACGCGTGTGACTGTTCTGGGCAGAGATTGAGGCTCCTAGGGTGGGAGCTGCCACGGGACCCCAGCGACCCTGGGGACCCTGCTGAGCTCCCAGCCAAGTCTGCTGGTGTCTCGTGCGAAGGGGGCAAACGCCTTCTTGGGGCAGAGACAGCCGCGTGAGCCCAGGGAGAGAGAGGAGGCTGGCTGTGTCATGTCACCCGCACGGCCAGTGGCCCTGTGGCCTTCGGCTGAGATGATAACAAAAAGCCAATTTACTATTATTGCCAGGAGAGAAATACAAGAAAACAATCAGGATAACAGTCAGAGGGGAAAAACATTTGTCATTTTGAGAAGTCAAGCACAAAACAGCAGGAACAACACCCCGATTTCCGGTCAGGGCTCCCCGAAGCCCCGGGGACCTGAGAGCTTAGTCTGGCCCAGTGGCTCCAGGGACGGGGCCCTCTGCGTGTGCTCGGGTGGCCACACTCTCTTTGGGGAGTTTGTGTCGTGGCTCACATTGCACACGGAGGGCAGGCGTGGGGTGAGCTTGGGGTCCAGGCCTGCAGAGGAGGCCCCGCCCACGCCCAGTTTAGGGTCCTCCTAATCTGGTTAGCGCAACCCTTTGGGGAATCAAAGGCAGATGGGTACTGACAGGGTAAAAATGAAAGATGAAGTGATTTAACTCGGGAAGGGAGTAGTTCCAAATTCAGACCAAAAAAAGTGCATCTAAAAAATTCCGTGTTAATAACAAACTTTTGCTTATGAACCGGGCCCAGACTTTGTACAGAGTTTTACTTTTGAAGGAAATGTTGCAATTGTGCATGAAACTGAAGAGCCACGTGATTTGTTAGAATTATTTTTCCTTTTTCCTTAACACGAGGAGGTCTGATGTGAATGGTCAAGTATGGTACCTGGCCGGACGCTGTCCCTCTACGGAGCTTCTTCCGGGGCAGTGCAGCCAGCAGGGCCAAGGGTCTACCTGCACCCGGAAATGTTCTCAGAGTGGCTTCTTGGCAGAGTTCTTGGAAGTCAAATGTAGTGCTGAGACAAAACCTCACCAGGTACTGATTTCTGAAATCAAACACCCAGGCCTGCCCCCTAGGAAAAAGAAAACAAAGCAAAACAAAAAACCCAAAACAAAACACAAGTAATACTGAATTTAAGTAAATGTATACCTCCAAAATACTGAAAACACCGGAAATCAAGAAGAGACAGAATTTGCGTTCTCGGTGAAATACCTTTAAACCTAGCTGACAAGAACCAAGTCAGAAAAGAAGACTAACATGACTGAGTAATACTCACACCGTTCACTAAGCATATGGAGAGCATGCATTAATATTGTACGGTTATTTTACATCACCTATACCAGAGGTCCTGACCGACAGACAGCGAAGGCTACCGGTGTAGAAAAATCTTACTTCAGAAGAGCAATATAATACAGATTTCACAGGCACTACATTTTAATATATCAGGTATTATGCTGGTTTTCTTATAATTCTTTCTGTCCTAAAGCTGGCATTATAACAATGACCAAAAAGGCAAGGATTGAAGTAAACGGAAAGTAGATACCAAAGTCGATATAGTTTTCTTCAGATAGATTAGTGCATAGTTCTCATGCAGATAAACACTGCTATGCATTTACACTGCTGGAAAGCAAAGTGAATTGAGCCCAAGTTGTCACATTTGTGTAAATCATTTTGTCAGCCTGTAATAGCACCATGTAATGGATTTGCATTAAACGTTAGATTGATTTCAGAATTGGTGACACAGTATTCACTACAGTTAAGTGCTATGGAATAGCTTCAATGGTACCTGCTATATATCAAAGCCATTTTCATCCCACTGCATTTTTTACTGGGAAAAATAAAAGGGAAACATCCATGACGCTAAGGAGACGGGTGCGCAGCCTTGGACCGGAAAGCAGAGTGGGTGCTAGGTCAGACAGGAAGTTCATGCGGCCTCAAGACAAGGTGGCCGGGGGGGATGGGCGGCTGCCCCGTGAGGCCAGGCCTGGGAGGGGGCAGGGGGTGCCCCGAAACTGCCCCACACCATGTCCGCCACATCTGACTCTGTTCTAGGGAGGCCTGTGACCAACAGCCAGGAAGAAAGGAAAAGCAGCAGACAACAGCGGGGGAGAGACAGAGACAGAGACTCGGGGAGGGTGCGAGCCACACCAGGGAGGCAGAGTGCATCAAAGGACATCTTAGAGACCCCCAGACAGCCCGGGGAGATGCCTGTTTTAATCCAGGTCTCATAAATACTTCCTGGCACCGCCACCACAGAGTCCAAAGCACGCGGGGATGAGGGTTCTAGGAGCGAGACCAACTTTTCGAGGTGGGCACTGCATACTCCTGTGGGCTGACTGAGTTCTTTGCCAGGCAAGGCTGGGGCCATCCCGCTCTGGTGGGAAATGGAGAGTGGCCACGGGGCCTGCGGGACTGGCCGTAGTGGGCAGGAACAGACAATAAACAGCTGTGGAACAGAAAGCTCGGAGGAAAGAGGGCTGAGGAAGGGCAGAGTGGCAGCGGCCGGGCCTCTGCTCAGGAAGGACTGGGTGAGCAGCTGGAAATGGTGAGGGTTAGCATTTGTGCCTCTGACTTCAGTTACCAAAGAAAAACTCAGGGAGCCCTGGGAGGGACTCTGCCAATCTTGCCAATGCCATCTGACAGGCGAGAGGGCCCCAGTGTGCCCCAGTGCCAGGGCTGGGCCTTCACAGCAGAGAGCTCTCGGTCTGCCTGTCTGCACCTCAGGGAGCAAAGTCTTCCTCAAATGTCTCTGCGCGGCTCTTAACCTAGAGAACCAAACACTCTGATGGCTGGTGTTTCTTTTTTCCTGCTGATCACAACCGAACTACAGTTTCCTGCTGCTGTCTGGACGATGAAACGTGAACAAAGTGGTAACTTAGTGTGTTTAATACTTCACCCCTGTCCGTTATCACCCTAGACTGCCTCCCTCATGTTTTAAAGCCTTTAAAACATTTTTCCTGCAAATCTGTTCAGAGTTCCCTAATTTTAGCTTCATCAGACTTAATACAACAAAATACCTTCAAAAATACAGCATACCTGTAACGTCCATTTACAATGGTTTCTCAGTAGACCTACACTTCTCAAGCATAGGCATATGCTATACCATTGAGAAAAAAAAATAACTGTATTTAAATACTTACAAAAAAAAAACCAGGAAACAGGAAAGTTTTAAACTTAAATCCAGTTCCCAAAGGGGAGAAGAAAGAAAAGCAATTCTATGAATGCTGCCTTTATAATGAACAATCAGAAATTTCACTAGGCTAATTTGACAGAAATTTTTCCTCATTTAAACAACATTACAAAAGTCCTGCATTACAAAATAGGGTAGAATAAATCAGTGTAATCAATAAAACTATACAACAATACAAATTACATATCTTCTGAGCGGGCAGTTTATCCCCTCTTTGCAGTCATGACTACAACATGCTCACTAAAAACAACTAAAACTGCCCAAACTATTGCTTAGTTTGTTTTGTTTAAAAAAGGGTGCAATTTTATTGTATATACAACCAATTTCCTGGAATACCTTGACCTATCGCAAGGTTTTGACAAAATGTTTGTCTAGGCTTTTCCCTTCACTGTGAAGCACTGAAAGCTGCTAGTTTTTCTTTTTTCTTTTTCTTTTTAGTGCACATATGTCATCATAAAGTAATGCCCAGCTAGGTGCTATCGGGGAAGGCAAAGTATGCTGGCTACAGGAAGTGATACCGTACGCTGACAATCACACCGTACAACAGCGCCAAACGACTATTCAACCACTTACCAGACACATATGAAAAATCCAAAATGTTTTATTTTATTTTTTTTCCCTTAAATAGAGATAACCAGTAAACAATTTTCAGAACTTGGAAGTTTAAAAACGTGCATATAAAAATGGGCATTATATACTTTTTATTGAATGTGGATTGACTGCAGTCTGCTAAGAAAAATGGGGTGTGGGTACTGAAGAAAAGGAGTCGTCTTTTTTTAAGGCTTGCTTGTGAAAGGAACAGTTGTAAAAACAAAATTGCTTGAAGCAGGGTCAGCTTAGTGCTTCACAGTTTGACTGCTTCTCTAAGAGGAGCCCTTCCTGCGCACGTGCATTCAAAAATCACAAAAAAGTACAAAGACAAACACCTAAAACACACTGCGTCAAGTGCAGCACTGACTTTGGTCAAATTAAAAAAAAAAAAGAAAAATTAATCATCGCTAAGCTTCTCTACATGATATAAGCAGGTATTGCATATTTTCGTACATCTGGGGGAAATAAAGGAAGACTCCAAATAAATTGTAAAATGCAGCAACATCCAAAATACTGACATTCTAAGCCTCTACAGATCTCAGAATAGCACTGCCACTGACCACACAGGACAATAAAGACTACTCCTACCTGCGAATGACTAACTGTCTACTTAGTTCTAGGTGTTGAAACCGACGATGGCGGACATAAAAGTCACATTTACAAAAAGTGTCTCCAAATGCTTGACCAGGGAAAAACCCCTTTCAATAGAGGAGCATGTGCAACAATTCCACAAATAATTGCTATCCAGGGCAAGGCACATTGATATGGAATTTTTGTTTTCGTGCAAATTAAGGAAAAAAAAACAACATTGTTTTGGGGGAAAGATGAGGAGCAAAGTGACTTCCCAAGAATCTCAGTTACTTGATTGTATAGGACAGTAGTAGGGCCCTTCTGAAGGGCTGGAAAACATAGTTTAAAGGCAAGTGCCTAGAGGAGGGTTACACTATTGTGTCTTAACGCACTCTACTTCAGCCTACGCTAACTATATAAAAATCAGTCACTAACACTAGAACATGCAAACTCCCTCGGCCGGCGTGGCCACCGCCAGGACGCGTACGTGTGTACAGCAGAGGAAACCTCCAGGCTGTCGGGAAGCAAAGGGCGCCTCGCTGTCTGGTAGAAAAATCACTTGCATTTTTTTTTTTGTTTGTTTCTGTTTTTTGTTTTTTTTTTTTGGTTTTTTTTTTTTGTTTTTTTTTTTACATAAGATACAGGACATTTGGGGGTGCAAACTTTTTTTGTTATTCCTTATCGAGTACCCTCGATCTGAATGGGCACCAGCGTTTGTGTCAGTATTGGTTTCATCATATCATCATCATCATCATTTTCCCATAGCCCAGCTCAGGGACGCAAAGGTCTTTAAAATTCTGGACAATCTCTGATAGAATGAAGTGTCTGATGATAAATCTATGTTGCCAGATACATGTAAAAATTTTCAGAATTGGCATAATTCATGATAGTGACATCTAGCTTATAAAATTAACAGATACCATGATTTCATTTTAGTTATGTGCTTTGATAACAGAAAATAATTAGCATTTAATGTAGTTAACATATTGTGGTAAAAGCACCATTAGATTTGTTTTTTGTTTTTTTTTTTTTTAAATTTTCCTTCAGTTTTTAAAGGGATACAAGTTTAACAATAAAAAACATAAAAAGCAAAAATAGCTCCCCTTTTTCTTGCAAGGCTGTTTTTTACCCCAATAATTTAGAGTCCTGGGGTGCAAGGACTTGAAAAACAAAATAGAATTTTCAACAATCTCTATCTTACAAAGGCATTTAGCTATCCGATGAAATTGCACTTCACTCAATTCAAAATTCGATTGTTCTGATCGTTTCCTGTCAGTTTCTGTCAAAGCAGACCATCTCCCCTTTCCACGTGAAATTTTGTGTCATTGTTGAAATTGTTGAAAAAGAGTTGTTCTTTTTTTTAAATGTAAGTGCAGCATTTCAAAACTTTTTAAAAACTGAATAGTAGTAGTAGTTTGCCATTTTCAGAATTGTTCTGCAACGTGAGCGGATTCACTGTCCTTGCAGGCCATGGTATGGGCTTAACTGCTGACGGCTGAACCAAACCAAACTGAAAGAAAAATAAAAAAGGAACCAACTGCATTCTCTTTTTCCAATATGTTACGGAAACATCGCCCTTTGACTGTCCCGTAAGTATAGATTGCAGATCTCGGCTACTACGAAAGATTTAGTTCTCCGTGCGCCTCCTGCCTGCTCAGGGAGGCTACACCTGCGTGGGTCAATTCAGGAAACACTGTGAAACAGCGGGCTCTGTGGGGTGTTACGACAGGAAGCGTGAGCAAGGGTCATGCTCCGCCAGCCACAGCGCCTCAGTTCACGCCTGAGGAACACTTCACATGCTACAAAGCCCAGCCATTTCCAGCACCATATGAGAGATTACAACAGTCCCTAAAGTATTTAAAAAATCCCGAAAGGTTACGGCCTTTGCTGTTTGACCATAATGCTTGCTGTTTCCATGTACAGGTGGATCTGAATTGGTGTTTTCTCCCCTTCCACTGACAGTGAAGTTGTAGCCGCACGGGGCTGAGGTTGCGTCCAGGTTACAGAGTTGAGAAGGGGTCGGGTGGTCTGTCTGGTGGGTGGTGGGACGCGGTGACTTTTATCCCAGGTACCAGGACTGGAAGACAAGGGAAAGTGTGGTTAGAAGTGTGGCAGCACGTGTGCTTCGCATCGATGCAGCCCTGAGTTCAATCCTCAGCACTGCTGAAAAAGAGTCCAACTGATAAAACCCAGCGTATTTCAGAAGCTGCCCCTCCACCCACGGACTCGGATCTGCACCAGGATTCACTGGTAAGAGTGGGGGATGACAGGAGCAGCGGGGACGCTGCAGGTCACTCCTTGCGTGACACCCATCTTGCTGGGCGGGCTTCGGCCGTGTCCTGAATGCATCTGGCAGCGTGAAGCGCTTCTGCCTCTGCAGATACAAATTCGGTTTCATAGCCTGCGGGGCAGAAACCCGAGCACCTCGTTTATTGCCAGCCCTTGGGTGCCTGGCCCCTCACTCATTTCTCGAGAGGAAGCGCTGAGGGGTGCAAGGCGGCCGTGGGTCAGCAATGGCTCCCCTGATGGGTCCCACAGTGTCTCCCGAGAAAGGGGTGCTTGCTGAAGATGCAGTCTCAACACTGCTTCAACACAGGCCCAAGTGGCCGATAGTGACCCAGGGCTCCCCCCTGGGATCCCAGGCGGACACTCCCGAGAGTTAGATGTGGGCTGCAAATTAACGCTCTGCTCAGCTCAGTATTTCTCAAGTACTTCTGGCAATGGCACATAACAATCAGGAAGCAGCCAGCCTTCACCCTGGGGATCCCCAGAGCTCCGAGGGCCCGGGCCGTCCCCTCCGTCTCCCAGGGTCTGCGTGGCACCTCCTGTCACCAGTGGGCTAGGTGCTGGGCCCAGAGAGACAGCCGCGCACATCGCTTTGTCTGTTGGCAAAGAAGCAAAGCCAGGTAAACAAGGACCAAGGATGCACGAGCATCAGTTTCCCAAGTGAAATCAAAAAGTGCATGGCTTTTGCAGACTTTGCCCTGGCTGCGCTCTGACAAACGCGTTTGTCGCGGGTCACAGGAACGTCAGAGCCTCCTCACAGAGGGGTGACTCGGACGGTCCAAATCCCCACGTCAGAAAGGCTGTGCCCTGCCTTTGTCCCTGAGATTCAACTAGGGACGTAAGAGCTGTCTGATCTGGGGATCCATAGCTCAATGACAGCTATATGAAGGTTGGGATAGGATTTCCTGGTCACACAAGCCACCTTTGATTTCCGCATCAGTTAAGAACCCTAACCCACGCTGAAAACAACTCATCCCGAGCACTTTCAGATGTCCTCTGACCTCGTGCCTGGGCATCACAGTGCAGCCTCTCGTGTCCCCAAAGGGAATAGTCCCAGCAGCAACAAACTGACGCTAGCTGCACAAAAGGCAGACGAGGGGGCCGGAGGGAGAGCAGACCCGGCTGCAGCCCTGAGCGCACAGCGGGGCTCTGGCCTCGCGCCCTTTCCGAGGCAGCTGTGACCCCAACTTCCCGAGGGTGGCAATTCCTGGACTTTCCGCCGAAGAGGCCCGGGATGGACTCGGGGAGTCGGCAGGGGGAGCAGTTCTCCACACCACTGCGTCTGGGCCAGACCTCGGGGCACCACGAAAATCTGCAGTGCTTCTGCACTTCTCTTAAAAAGCAAAGCAAGAAAAAAAAGTTTCTTCACACATCTTACTATTCAGTATGTGCCTTGCCGACAAGGTTACCCAGAGCAGCTCTGTAATCCTTCACTGAAATAGGCTTTATTGATTGCTCTGGTCTATTGTTCCCTTTTCAAGTCCCCCAAGTTCAAGTTCATCCTGGTGTTACATCATGTCTGGTTGCTACGAGCAACCAGACAGCCCCAGACGTGACTATCATTAGCAAGAAGCCCTCGCTCTCCTCCCACCAGCCTTCCAGCGGTTCTGACGTAGCAGGCCCACTGCAAACACACTGAAGTATTTATTCTGCCTAATTTATGACTTCGAGAGCAAGTGGGACCCCCACTCCAAAACCCAACACTGTTGTATCTGTAATTAATCTGTCTTTCCCTGGCACTTGGGAAAGTGAGACAAAGGACTAATTATTGTGTTTCACCCTACACACTTCTTTCGGGGGGGGGGTGGATATTTGCATGGGAAAGAAAACTCCGAGGCCTAGCCCTGGCCCTCTCCTTCCTCCTGCCCTCTTGACATTTCATGAAATACTTTAGCTGCTTAGGGGAATTAGAAAAAAAAAATGCGAAGTGAATGTTACTCCTTCTGAGTTGGTATTCAGCAACACAAATCAACTCATGACATGTTTAAATTTAAATGCTAACCACACACTCTCAGAGTTACTTTAAAGGTTAGTTTTTAATCAATAGGAGTTGCTGACTCTGGGTTTTCGAGCTGCCCACTGCAACTTTTAGGCTTTTGTCTCCGGCTGAGGCTTGCGAACTTTCTTTCCTTGAGACGATTTTAGCAATGATTGGCAGAGAGAAGCCATTGTGCTCTGACCAGCCACAGGGCAATAAAGGAAGGGCCATCCTGGGGCGGGTGTCAATATGGCTCCTGAGGCAGGGGTGGGGGTTCTTTATTAACCTGTGAAAAACCTTAATTAACCCTTTCAGGCCCGACCAAAAGCTATTCTTCAGCTTTTCCACTCCTGTAATTTGACCATTAGTACTTATTCCAACATCACACTAATCTTCATGACAATTAGCCCAGCTACTTTGACCAGGACTTCGAAAGGGGAGTCAGTCAGGGGAACCGCACGGAGGACTTTTCTTCTGGAGTGAGGATGCTCTGACTAAACCATCTACAAGGCAGCAGATGAACAGTCCTAATGATAATATCTGAGCCCCAGTGAGGAGCTGAAGATGTTCACAGTCTTCGGCGAGGGGTGCGGCCTGCACGCGGTGAGCCCGTCCAATGCCATGAGCTTCTGCCAACAGCTAGCGGGCGAAGGATGGAGCAACCCTGTCGGAAAAGCCCCTTCCTCCCTCGGTCTCTGTCCTGTGAACAGTCAAGTTTCAAAACGCTCACTGAAGAATGAGTCTGCATATTCCCTTCCTGAGCCATGCCAGAAAAACAAGGGAAATCTGAGATTGTTACGTTGTTGAGGTTGAAAAGCAAATCACTGTGAAAACATTGCCACATGAAATACAGTTCACTTGTGGAGGGTCAAAAAAAGTCATCTTCAGACAGTTACTGACATAGGCTTGGGTTTCATATGGTTTCTGCCTTCCTACTTTATAGCCCTTTAATCCACCCTGCTGTGGCCAGAGGACTACAAAGGAGCTCTGTCCCTTAGCTGCAGGAGCCCAGTATCACAGTGCGGTATCTGACGATGCCCATCGGCACATTTCCATTAAGGAAGTAAACAGGGCGCTGTGATCGGAACCCTGGAGCTGCAGCCCTTCCCAGGTCCTCCAGCCCCACTCCCACCAGGGGGAGGCCGGGTACAATTAGCTCCATCACAAGGTCTGGGCAGGGGATGTACTGCGAGGGGAGGGGCGTCCTCCTCCAGTGTTCAAGGTGAAACATCAAAAGAAATCTGCAGTCCAGGACCAGAGCTCAGCTTTCCTGCTCTGCAGTCAGATGAAGAAGTAATCGCATCAGGTCGGAAAGTGCTGAGTAAGGGTTTAATAAAGTGCCTGCAGATGTGGCGTCTGCCAGGTATTCACCTCACGTAATGCAAAGCAGCTCCACACTGAACGTGCTGATAAAGTCTCATTTAACCATTGCGGCGCGGCTTTCTTTCCCTTCACAGTTCTCTGAGGAGTTTATCACACTTCCTGCCCTCAACGTGCAGCCCCGCGGATGCTCAGCCCCGCCGTCCTCAGGGTTATGCACCACAGCTGCGCCTGCCCCGTGGCACCCCAGGCAGGAAGCCGGGTGGTGTGGGCGCCCTGCGGTGCCAGGCCGGTTCCTGTCTGCCTCCCGGAGAGCGGTTAGGAAACGAACCAGTTTCCAGGACGCGGTCACGGGGCAGCGAGGGGACTCGGCCCCCGGGAGCACGCAGGCTCCTGTGCACAGGCGCGACTGGTGGGTAATGAGAAGAAGTGTGTCTGTCGGGGGAAGTTCTGTTTTGCTCAAACCAAACGCAAGGGGTGCCAGGGAGACTGACAGGCAGACTCTGTTCCTCAAATTAAACAGTTGGGTGGAGTTTCATGCCGTCGCCCTGGCGAGAAGGCTGTAATGTGGAGCCCAGGGCTGGCCGAGGTGCCGCTTTCTCTGCCTCAAGGGGTCACGGGGCACGGCCCCCCGGAGCCGCATGGGCTGCGGGCCCCATGGACTGCCCTGGAGACGCTGCCCATGCTGGCTACGCTGGGCAGTACAGCTTCCTGCTGTTGCTCAGGTGAACTAAGTCCCTTCAGCACACACACACTGCCCTTGGCAGACCTGGCCCGAGCCTGGTGGTGCCTGTCCCTGCCCCAGGGCTCGGCTGCACGGGCCTTGGCCTCCATCGATGTGCAGGAGGAGCCCCATGCTGCTGGGTGCCCCTTGTGCTGGGCACCCCGTGCATGAGCTCTGAGGGCGTCTGGCCTGGGACCCCCTGCTTGAAGGGAGGTGCCAGGCTGCAGACTTCCTGACCCTTTGGGTGCCAGGCACCCGCCGCTCCTGCCCAGGACCTTCATCCCCAAGCCAGTGGGTGGGGCTGAGCCCCAGGACTCTGAGGCCCCAGTCCCATGTTCCCCCACTGTGTGACTTCTGGGACTTCCTGGTGACAGGTGCAGCACAGGTGTCAGCTGTTGGCACTGCCAACCTCAGGCTTTGATCTCCAGTCTTTTCCCCGCCTGCCTATACTTTGTTAAAGCCTGTTTTCGATAACTCTGAACCAAGACCTGCTTGATGTGCGGGAAACTGCTCACTTGGTGGCTGTCCTTTCTCCCCACTCGTCCCAGCTTCCAGGGACCTTCCGGTGCCCAAGCCACCACCTTCTCCCTGCTGGGCCTCATGCTTGGCTTTGCCGGTGCTTGCTGGTCCGTGGGCCCCTAGGGCTGCTTCTCAGGGCTTCCAGCCTGAGTCAGGGTGGCTGAGCTCCTAGCATCTTTTCTACCTGCTTAGGGGCACCCCATGTTCTGCCCCGCGGCCAGCAGGGGGGACATCGAACAAAGACTGAAAGAGGAAGGAAGAACAGGCCGTGTGCAGCCTTCCTGGACTGAGCGTCAGTCGGCACCCACACTCACCTCACCCTGGCCCCAGGTGACAGGTGGGGTCCCCATGAGATGCAGGGCCCCACGATCCCCCGGCACCGCCTGCAGCACCCTTTCCCGGCCAGCTGGACTGGCTGCCTCAGGAGCATGCGTGCCAGTTTGGGAACACAGACTGCAGCCTGCTCACTGCGAAGCCGGCACAGTGGCCAAACCACCAGTCCCTGGGGAACCACTGGCTGCTTCCAGCCAAGACCTCCGTTTCGGTTCAAACCTCAAGACAGGAAAACACTCATCTTTCTCTCCAGCAAGCCATGCAGTCCTCCAGACCTTGGGAGTGCACGAAGCCAGTTGTGCCAGCCGGGTCCAAGTGGAAACCTCCACCGCAGCCTGTGCCTGGGCTTTTGCCCTGGTGCACCTCTGCTGCCTCCGTGTGCCCATCCATCAGTCTCCTACACCCAGAGACTCTGGGGCTCCGAAGAGCACCCCGGCCCACGCCCCTGCCTGGAAACACAGCGGAGGCCGCAGGCACGGCTGAGAACCAGTGCCGGGAATCGTCACCAGCAGTCCTGGTGCTGGTTAGAAGCGCTGGCCAATGAGTCGGCAGCACCGAGTCTCAGTGCTTGGCTCTAGCTGCACCCATTTGTGGGGAGGGAATGCGGTGCCACCTGGCTGGCGCCTACACAGAGAACGGGAGCCAGGCAGACAGCAGGGGCTGCGGGTGCAGTCGGCCAGCTTCCTAGGAAGGACCTGGCTCCCCAAGGTGCCTCCTCTCATTTAAAGACATAATTTCTAGTTAAAAGTAGCAGCTGTAGCAGCCCCGTTCCCCAGTTGCAAGAGAAAGTTCCTGAGAAAATAACCTGTCTTTAATTGCGGTCTTGGAATTGGAGCAGGCCCGCCAAGAGCACAAAGGGTACAGGCTCAGGTCTGGGAGAGGCATCGGCCCTCAGCCTGCGAGGCTCAGCTCTGCCGGCGCGGGCGAGGGGGGGACTCGGGCGAGGGGGCAGGAACAATCCTATTTTGGTTTTTGTTAGCGGATGGCATACTACATAGATCAGAGACTTCCCATAAAACACCCCCCCCACACCGTACACAAAGCACAGGAAAATGCGAGGGAAAAAGGGAAAAACTAAAAGCAGCTTAGGGTGTGTTAACGCTGCCATTCTGTCAGCTTAAAGAGTATTTTATGCTTGATCAACAGCTCTTTTTTATTGTGCTTTTCTTTCATTCATTCAGGACATCAAAGCCGGGCGCCACCAGCATACCTGCCTTCTGGAGCTGCGGAGGAGGTTCTAATGAAGCCGGCACTGGGAGCCGAGACCCCCGTGGACACGGCAGTTCAAAGGGAATATTTCAACAATGATTACATTTTGTAAATCTTTTTATGAAAGAGACAGCTTATTTCCTGCTTTTTCATGAAAAATAGATTCTATCCATGAAAGGGAGCCCGCGCCACGGAAGCTGCCCGGGATCTGAGGTGCGGCATGGAGATTAAGGAGACAAGAACCCGACAAAATCGCCCCAAGTGCCCGTGCCCTGGCTGGGACGGCTGCCGGATGTGCGGGGCGGGGCCGGACAGCACGGCCCGAACCCCACGTTTGGGGTCTGCTCTCTGTGTTTTGATTCCACCAAAGCCAAAGACTATCAGGAGGCCATTGGGCCACCTGTTCTATCACACGAGAGCAAGATGAAAGGTTCTAGTTACAGACTCGCTAAGTGGTGTATTTTAATGCCCCGAGATGGGACAAACTCTTTTCCATATGGGAAGCTGGCCCATAAAAGGCTGGCTCTGCTCGCAGACATAAAGCGGGCTTTCTTAGGGCCAGAAACAGAGGAGTGGCCCGGCCCTTTCTAAGTTTGGATTTTCACATTAAAATAATCTTTTGCCTGGCAGGGAGGGAGTTGCAGAGGATGGGGAAGGAAGGGAATATGATTTCCTGGGGAGCTATGAAATGAGAAAATGTATGTTTTCTACACATCGGATTCCAAATTTAATTAAATGCCTGTTGCCTAACAAGTGCAGACAGTCACACTTGGGGCTGCCCATGGCGGCCCGGGAGGTGCCTTTCTGTTAGAGACAGAGCGTGGGAGTGAGGCCAGCGCAGCAGAGCGAGGCCCCACCCTGAGCACGAGCACCCCAGCCACCTCACCCTGTTCCTCCTGACCAGGCTCAGGCTCTGGCAAATCCCTTCAGAGGCCTCGCTGCCTGATGTGCAGGTAGACAAAGTCCAGGAAGGAAAACAGCACTGCATGGACAGTCCAGGTGCTCGGGGTTCTAGTCTCACCTCCAGCAGCAGCCAGCAGATCGGGCTCCTCCGACCCCCACCCGGGGCAGGGACGGCAGCACCTGCTGGCCCCGGGCTTTGCCACCTGCAGGGCTGCACCTCGGGTGCGTGTCCCTCCCTCCTCCCCTGCAGCCCAGCCCCCTGGAGTGGGGACGGGCCCTGACCACACCACCAGGCAGAAGGCGGTGGGTGGGGAGGCAGCCCCGAGGGCAGAACTACCACCTTGCGGGCGTCAGGGCAAGAGGCTGTGGCAGGGAGCGGGGCTCATAGAGGCAGGGCCTGGGCAGCACGGGGAGGCGGCCGAGGAGTCCCGGCGTCCAGGTCCACAGGAGCAGACGTGGGGCCGGTGAGGTGCACGATCTGGGCCAACCCAGCCAAACTGCCACTGCGGACCGGGCACCCCATGTGCCTCGGCTGTCCACAAAGATCCGCTCCTGCGTCTTTCCGGTCCCTGAGCTCAGGAGTTGTCTCTTCTGGGATGTGGCACTGGAAGAGGGGAACCTTCCCTATCCTCCCAAGGGCAGCATGACCGTGACCACGGAACTAATCAGGTCACGGCCTCAGGGACCCAAACCTGGGTCCCAGGATGCTGGGGTCCAACCTTACCCTGGCCCACCAGGCCTCAGGACAGTTACAGTGTTGAGGTAGAAACAGAAACAGGAAAACACAAAATGGCCCTGACCTTGGCGGCCTACAGTGTAAGCAGCATCAGGCGCTGACGGAAGAGGGGCTTCCATCTGTTCAAAGCCCTGTGTGAAATCGAGCAGTTTCCCGACACCTCCCCGTGAGACCAGGGACGGCTCTGGCTCCCCCTCTGGCACGTGGTCAGATTTGGGGTTTATGGGACCAAACTCGTCTTTGTTGAAACGTGACTTGCAAAACAAACCCACATGGGGGCCGCTGCAGCCTCAGACGAGTGTTTTTTAAATGCTGAAACAGCAAATGCTTTTTTATGTTCAGATTTATTTGCTCCTAAATGTGTAGATTTACAACCAAACCATGCTCAGTACCACAACTAGGGTCTCTGTCGGTGTTTCCAAGGAGGGCAGTGGCGCTGGGAGCGGCAGGGTGAGGTCCCCGGATGCACTGACGCTGGTCTGCCCTAGGCCCGCACCAGGGCCCGACGCCTGTGTGACATCTGTGAAGGCAGAGCGACCTGGCCTCCAGGCTGGGGAAGGGAAGCGGCGGGTGCCCGGACGCAGCGAACTTGACTCATTTTTACCTTTTAGTAATGACTTGGAGGAGGTGGGGATTCTACAAGCAAAGATTGTTGGAGATTCAAGAGTGTTTTATAAAACTAAGATGTAAGCCAAAAGGCTCTCAGTTGGATTCTAGACAAATTCCATGCGGTAGTGCTCATTAGTAACTGAGGGTTAGGAATCAGCACAGAGCCCGCCTGCATGCGCATGTGCATGCACACGCACACAAACGCGCACGCGGAGGGCACTGGTCTGCGGCAGTCACATATTCCCTATCGCCTCGCTGTCACTAACGGCCAGCGCGGTCATGTGATGGTTACATGTTGAAAAACCCATTCCCTCTTTAGACCATTGTTTATTTTGCAAGTACAGTGATGTGCACAGCTGCCCTCGGACCACAGTCACAGGCCCCTTTCGGACTCCTGCTCTCTAGGAGACAGCTCAAGTGAAAAGCACTGTGAGACTGCCCCGTGCAAGAGGTGAATAATTCAAGCTAACATGTGACTTCCTGTCCGACACCACCAGCCTGTCTGCACTATTCTGCAGGAACACGTTCAGGAGTTCAACTCCAGGCTGGAAGCCCCTCGAGCTCCGAGGAGCTCACAGTGAGCCTCCTTCCCACGAAGCCCTCTGAGCTCTCCATGCAGCACTGGTTTCCAAGGCTTGGTGCAGGAATGCGTTCCTTGGGAGTGGGGCTGCTTTCTCAGGCCATGCGGGCTTCTCAGCAGCGCACTTTCCTGGGGATCTGACACTCTGCAGACCCCGCGGAGGCAGGGACAGAGCAAGCCCCAAGTCACCCTGGTTCTGGTTGAGTATTCCACAATGCCAGACCCCGCACTTCAAGGTTCTCTGCACCTGTCTCAGTGTCTCACGAAGTGGCCAGTGCACATTTACCTTCCTCAGAGATGAGAGCTATTTTTAAGCCTTGTAGGTGAGGAGAAATGTCCCGCCCGGAAGAGGTCCCATATTCTGCTTACCAAGAACCCCAAGGTTCACGAGGTCATGAGACCTGGGGATCATCCTGCCAGGACGGACGCCTGCGAGGAAGGGGCTGAGCCCGGAGGGCAGGAAGTGGCTTCTCAGGTGCGCCAGGGAAGTGGGCCAGGAGCACTGAGCTCCTGGCTGGCTGAGGTGAGACTCCATCTCGCCACTAAGCCAGGGTCCCAGGGTCCAGAGAAGGCGGCGCAGTTTTCAGAGAGGACAGTGAAAGGCGGTGGGGAACGGAGGCTGGGGCTCTGCCTCAAACCTCCCTCCTGAGCTGGAGCTCAGGGGCACGGAGCCCAAAAGCCAAGGTGCCATCCCTTGCCCTGGAGCAGGCCTGCCTGAGCAGCAGGCATAGGGTCCGGCCCCAGCTGGCGGGCATTGGGAGCGGTCAGGGGAGCCGCTGAAGCAGCAGCCTGCTTCTTGTGGGGTTCACACACCACACAGCCCAGGGTGCTGGGTGCTGGGCCAGGCTGAGAGGGCACAAGGCCCCCTTTCTGGCACAGGTGGTGAGGGTGAAATGACACTGTGCATGAGGCTGAGCTCCTGCTCGACTCTCATCACTGTTGGGGAGGCGGGTGCAGATGCTTTGCCTCAGGGTGAGCAGGGCCCCTTCTCTCTCAGGGCCTCATCTGTCCACCAGCGCACGGCCTTTCCTGGAGTTGTGTAGAATCTTGGCACGATGCTGGGATTTCACTCCTTGTTTTACTTAATCCTCTGAAAGCCTAGTTCAAATGCTGAAAACATCCAGCATTTTCTAAAATCAAATTATATGTAAATAAGCTTCTGAGTAAAACCCTTTGCTAAGGAGAAACGAGAAGTTTCTTCTAAGGGAAAAGGACAGCATACAAGTGACCCCCTTCAGACGGCGTTCTGCAGAATGGGTTGGCGAAAGGGGTTTCTCGTGGGGCATCGGTTTACATCTGGTGAATGGGTGGGAAGGGCTCAGAGCAGCAAGGTTCTGGGCTTCACCCAAGATCCCTGACAACCTCCACGAAGACGCACAGACAGTCGGTGTAGGAGAGGGCTCCACACCAACCAGCCCAAAGGTCTCAGAATCATGTGCTCTTTCTTCCATCTGGTTATTTCTCCTTTCTTTTCCACAAATATTGACAAAATTTTGGTTCATTCTCCACTGCCCTTTGGACCCCTGCCACTAAGAGTCGCTATAGGAAACTTTTTAAACATAACTGCCATGTTATTGTTTTAAGCAACTTTGGAAAATGGTGCATGGGAGGAATTTGAAACTCAAAATGATCTGCAGATTTCCAAGTGGACTTAATTTATACATGTAGATCCTAATTATTTCGAAGACAATAACTTGATAGTTCAAAATCTTTTATATTTGTTAATTGTGGACAGGTGAGATTCGGGTCCAGTGTTATTTGTGCTGAAATCTTCTGGTAAAGTGGTCTCAGCTGTTAGGGTTTATATGTAGATGTCCCAGAGCCTTATGTGCTCATAGGGGAGGCATTTGGAAGGGAGTAGATTAGAGGAGCAATATACCTGACTTGCTGAGAGGAGGTGGGGTCTGTTAAAAATAGCAGGGTCCCTGGGGGTGTGACTGCAATGGTCTCTCTCCCTCCTATGCTTCCTTTGGCTCTCTGCTTCCTGGTCACCATGACATAAGCAACTTTTCTCCTTCAGACCCTTCTACCATGCCACTTCTGCCTGGAGCTGGCCCACCATGCAAGGTCCGAAACTTCTAAAAGATGAGCCAAAATGAACCTTTCTTCTTTTAAACTGGAGGTGTTGGATATTTTGTCCCAGAGACCATGAAAGTAACCAAGACAGATTTTTGGTACTGAGTGTGTGGTTGCTGCTGCTGCCACCTGACCACAGTGTTCAGAAGCCTTTGAAACTGGTGTGCAAGAGTTTGAAAAGGCTTCGGGATGCAAGTTAAAGAAGCCCTAGAAAGCTGTGAGTGGAGCTTCATGGGAGAGACTCTGGCTGGAGCTCAGAAGACCAGAATGCAGACAGAAAGACCAGGCTCAGGGGCTTCATTTGGGAGCAAGGACTCCAGGCCATGTGTTATATTATAGCAGAAAATTTGCCTACATTTTACTATGCCCTGAGACTCTGCAGGAGACTGAGATTAAAAGTGCTAGACTAGTCAATCTGGTGGAGGAAAATTCAAAGCAGCCTAATGTTCAGGTTGTAGCATAAATACTGTCTGCTGCTTTTGCCCAGGTTTATGCAGAAAATCAGGAGCAAAAAGCCTATTTGAAAAATTTTCTACTTTCCCAGAAAGGAAAAGCTGGCAAAATTGGAGCAGAGGAGAGCCTGATTGCTGAAAAGATTAGCATTAAAAAGAAGCCAAATACTTTACATTAGGACAATAGGAAAGATGCCTTGAGAACATATGAGGGACCAGCAAGGCCTCAGCTTTCATAGGCTCAAAATTGTAAACGTGAAAAAGAAAGAAGCCCCATGGCACTGAGCTCCAGAACAGTGACCTAGCAAATGGGTTTCCTGGGATGTGGTTCACAGTGCTCAGCCATCCAGACATTTGGAGGCCTCTAGAGCCACGGCTGAAGAGGGCTCAGCTTCTG